GTTATGAAGTTACTCTTTACATAAAGGTGTATTTCCGTTCCAATGGAAAAATAGTGATTTTACTCCTATTCATAAATCAGGCAATACAAATTCGATCATAAATTATAAACCTATCCCGAAATTATTAACGTTACCTAAACTTCTTGAAAAGTTAATGATGCCTTGGTTAACTTTTTATTTTAAGAACATAATTAACTCCACTCAATACAGTTTTATGAAAGGTCGTTCCGTGGAAACGAATCTACTTTGTTTCTATAATTCTGTATTGAATTACATGGAATTTTTTCGGTTTAATCATTTGGGATCCTTATCTTCGTGTCGAAATAAAATGAATTGAACAAGTGCAAAATTTCTTAACTATCTATACTAAAAATTGAACATCTATTCTCCAACATTTTTTCAAACCAGTCATGGATGCACTAAATCTTTGCTCTTTACGAGACAGTCTAGATCCCCTGAGACCTTTCACATCCCAACTTTCCGTTCAAAGTTTTTATCATAAAAATAAACTATATTAGGACAATGTGTTTAAATGATAATGATGTAGATATATTTGCCTTAAAATCTCTGCAATTTCAATGTGTTTTCTATATTTTTAATGCATTAATATCTTGTTGTCTAGAACTCTTGCGTCGTCTAATGTTATAACAATGACTTTTATAATTTATATGTAAAGGCTAACCTAGCTGATTGGGGTCTATATCAATACAACAAATACAAAAAAACTTATCAGTACTACCTATTAAGATCATAAAACCAATGGTTATACTTATGTCCAATTGATTTTTTAAAAAAAAGGTGTAATAACTATATGATTTACATATCTGTTAATTACAATTAACTTACCACAAGCAAATGACATTGAAAGAATACCTATTACATTTTAAAATTATAAACTTAAAATTATATTATACAACTATGTTTGAGTAGCATAGACAATTGATAATTTAGTAATTCACTTACCTCTAATTATCCAATCATAGACCACTAAATATTGTACTAGAGACTAATAGCTTACAATCGATTTATTAAATATGTAATGACCGTTTTTTTCTACACAGTCCAGTATTGGTCTAACAACCTGGAACTGTTACTGTGTATTAAATATAAAATAACATATGCAATACACATCCTTACCACCATTGGCGCAACTAGGGAGGGGGGGGTTAACCCTCAAAAATATCCTTTATCGACATTTCAAACGATTTTAACAGTGACGAAATTTTAAATAATTTTACGTGTGCTAACGATAGAAAAATACCGTTAATATATTAAAATGTTACTTACTATAAAGTTAACTTGTTTTCTTTTTTCGTATTCTCATATAACAGGTAAACAAATTTAGTTATAATAATAATATATTTCTAAGATACCAGTGGTTTATGTATAAAATGTTGAGTAGAGAATACCATTTTGATGAATGGCTTACACTACTCACAATAGTGTCAAAAATATAAAATAAAACAAATTGTTATAAATAAAATATGTTCTTCTCTTGGTTCAAAATCTAAAATAGGTTGTGATTGTGTGTAGGGGGTGGGATGGCCCCCTATAGCATATTTTATGTTCATGGTTTTGTTAGAAGAGCTATAGCCCCCCCCCCCCTCCAATTTCAACCCTAGTTGCGGCTATGCTTAATACTCATACAAATAAATGTTTCAAATCAACAGTTTCCCCCTACAAACAGGTAATGGCCATATAGTTGCCGCCTGGCCAGGGTTTAGATCAATAATAAAATAAATAAATAAATTATCATAAATATTTTAAATTAGGTACTATTTGTTAATTAATTATTAATTTGTAATATTACCAATGTCACATATTTCTAAAAATAAAATAATACAATTTAATTAGTCCATCTTTTCTATTTACTACAGATTACAATGTAATAATTTTCACATTATAATAGACTAAAAACAAAAATAACCACCTATCTTATTATTTTGTATAACTATTAACGTAGTTCAATTTTTGAACCACTGCATTATACGTTATACTTTAAGTAGAAAAGAATAAAGTAATTGTTGAAAATATTATAATTTAATTCTCTGTTGCTTGAATAAACCAAAATAATATTTCTGCAATATATCAAATACATTAAAAGAGCTATAAAATTTGTAATAGTATATACATAGTATTTATATACATCAGCTGGACATACTAAAATTATTTTATACAATTTTAATGAACAGAAAATGTTATGTTTTCTCATAAATCAAAAATATATCTAATTTTTAAAAAATCTTTAGGTTTAAAGACTATTTTACCACCTACATCATAATATTATATACAGTGGACGCCGCTTATAATACTCACATTGGGACCAGCACAAAGTGAGTCTTATAACCGAATGAATCTTATAGGCGAAGTGGGAAAAAAATTAATTACATATTTATGAATTTTATTTTACTACATATTTTTCTTTAAATGTAATACTCTAATACATATTACATATGACATACGTATTATTAAATAAATTTAAAAAAATTCTGATAAGAAAATTAAAATTACATTACATGTAAAAAAAATGATTATATGCATTAATAAAAAATTATAAAAGATGTATGTATAATGTATATACCTATTTATTATTTATGAAAAAAAATTGTGATTTCGTTTTTTTTTTTAGTTATAAACTAATATTCCGGAAATATATTGGAAAATGTGAAAGACGATACAATTTGTTGTACATACACACATAATAAAGCAAAAAACATTAATTTATTTCTAAATTTTGACCAAAAATGTTTATTTTTACCATTTTTTTTTTACAAAATTTGAGTCTTATAAACAAATTGTTGAGTCTTATAACCGAATTTTTTATAACGTGTTTGAATACGTCCGGACCATTTCAGACAATTTTGAGTCTAATAAGCGACTAAACCTCATATCCGTGAGTCACTGTCAGCGGCGTCCACTGTATATAATTAAATACTAAAAAATAACATACATTTTGTTTTTCTCTAAGGTTATAATAACATTATAGTACTTGGTTTTAGTTTTTAAATGAATTCTTTAAAAGTTTATAAATCACTGGTGATAATATCAACACAATAGAACATCATATTACAATTATAATCACACTATATCAATAAATAATTGCATACTTCTAAACTTATTTAATAATTTTATTGATTTCACAGAAGTAACTGGCATAACCCAAATTGCAACACATAAAATTGTTAAGGTTATTAAACTACGCTTAAAGAAAATCATTTTGGTTCAGATATTATTATAAAATAGTAAAAATAATGTGAACGATGAACATTAAATAAGAAAAAAAAATTTTCTCGAATTCTTTTATAAGCGATGTATACATATGCCATACCCATAAAGTACAAAATAAATAATGTTCACAATAAGTTGTTTATTTATTTATCATACATGCGAATAATATTATTTTCCAATTGTTGTCGAACGTCATAACCTGTTATTTATTTTTTTTAACACCTAAGTAAATAATTTCTGTATTTAACATTAAATTTAATGCATGGCTCGATACAGTAATTTGTTTAAAATAAATATAGGACCGAATACATACAATGTTCATCATAAGAAAAAAAATACTTAAAAATATGTCGGTAGTATTAAACCACTAAACTAACCTACTACTTACTTGAAATTATAATAATATAATTTGAAAGGCAATAGCGTAATACAAATAAGAAACTATAGGTAAGCTATAGCAATCTTTATATTCTATTTACATCAATCGATCATAAAAAATTACATAAATGTTATATTTAATTTACAAAATATATTCAAAGAAGTTGTAACGGCGCAACCAAAATAAAACGGCTTTTATCAAAAACACTAAACTAACTAGGCTCCAGGCTGCCCTCCCAAAGGCAAGTCCAAGGCCATCATCAGTCTTCAATCAATATCCAAACAATTAACATATCTTCGAGAAACCGAAAAACTTGGAGACCCGAAGACTCCAAGACTAGGTACCCGATACAGTTTGAGAAGCACATACAAGCGTCCCGAACTAGCAAACGTCAACCGGCCAATCCGCGGCCACGATTCCAGCCCAGCCGAAGTACCGCTGACAACGTATAACGGTCGCACCACGGTCGAATAGTGCAGACCAAGTGGCAAGTACTACAACCAAGAACTCGTTCGACGATCATACGACCGACCGCTGCAGCAAGCCAACTCTCTTCCCCCCCTCCAGGGCTGTCCTTAGGATTTGCGAGGCCCAGGGCGAAAATACTTTTAAAACCTTTTAGGTATATATTTATATCTATGATCTATTATCTCCATAAACATATAATGACATCAATAATTCTTATCACACAACAAATTTGGTAGATACCTCCCTAATTATAATCTAAAATAAGGGTTTTTTTTCATAAAACATAATATAGCTAGGTAAATAAAATAAAATAATTTTAGAGTATACTTAAATAACATGTTTTTCTTTATTTACTGATATTAAATAATTTATTTATCGTCACATATTAATATTTATACAGATTTTCATTTCAATAAAATAACAATAAACAGACGAATTAAAATACTAAAAAATACAGTAAAAATCATTTTATTCGTCAAAAATTAATTTTTCTGGCTTTTATTTCTGCGAACTTTTCAATAATGTCGTTATAGTCTATATTTTCACACAAATCACGTTCAATTGAAATAATTGCCAAATCAGAAAGTCGGTCTTGCACCATAGTTGTTCTCAAATAATTCTTAATGATTTTTAACTTCGAGAAACTTCTCTCAGCACTTGCAGTTGTTATCGGAAGAGTTAATAATATTCTTAACGCGATAGAAAAATTTGGAAATGAACCACATGTTGATTCTATTAAATCAAGACACTCGATACTGGTTTTTTGTTTGTTCAAAATTCTACAAAATATTTTTAACTCGTCAAAAAGTTCAATTCCATTTATATCGCAATTTTCACCGTCCTTAAATAATATTTCTAAATCCATGCAATGCTTTCGTAATGTTTCATCTTCAAATAACTTCAAATTTTCAATATTATATAAAAATCAAAAGTTTTCTGAATGTTCAGATAATTGCTCGAATCGTTGATTAATTGATACAATTGCTTGATCTACCAATGCCAAAAAATAATCTTGATAAAATTTTTGTTCGTTAGAAACTGTTCGCGTATCATTACATTCATAATCAAACTGCTTACTTTTTTTTAGAACTCTAGATTGTTTAAAAATTGGTTGAGTTCCAATATCTTCACATAATTGTTGTGCAGTTTTTTTTGATAACTCAAACCCCTTTTCTCTAAAATTATTAAAAAAATCTTTAAGACCACTTAATAATTGAACAGCATTACTCAGTTCAATAGCTTCACTCTGAAGACTCTTACTAACTTTATTAATAGCAGATAGCAGTTCATACCAAATAACAACACTTAAAATAAAATCATAAGAAAATTCATAATTTGCCAAAGACAAACTCTCACTTTTTATCTTAGGAACCTTTGTTAACTCACTGACTTCTACTAAAGCATCGTGTACTTGGCCTAATTGAAAACGAATAGGTTTAATCGATTCAACCCGAGACTCCCACCTGGTATCTGACATTGGTTTTAAAGTAAAGTCTGAAACGTATTTTAAAAGAATAGTCCATCTTTCAGTAGAAGCACTGAACATTGTATAAATTCTTTGAATTACGCCAAAAAATGTCATAGCAGCTGGTACAGACGATGCCATGTCCCCGAGAAGTAAATTAAGACTGTGCGCAGTGCATGGTACAAAAAAAGCTCTTGGGATCGACCACTCATTTTAATATTATTGTATTAGAATATTAGATGCAATCAATGTCAGCAGCAAACGCACGCACGATTACACGAAAAAGTAAAAACTACTACTAATAAAATCGGTCTATCTACTATTTGCTCAATAAATATTATTTATTATTAATTATTATCAATGTTTTTCAACGGTGACAGTCGACGAACGACGAACGAATAAATCTATTATTATCTATTACTAATAAGTAATAAGCAATAAAAATTCGACGAAAAAGACGGTCGGTGATTGCTGCCTGCTACCCGCATTACCACAGCGATGTGTTGCGATTACGACAATATTGTATTTTTGATATTTCAATATTTTTACATTGAATCAACTTCGTTATTTTTATATAAATTTCTACTTTTTTCAAACAACGCGAGGCCCAAAATTTAAGCAAAAAGCGTGAGGCCCAGGGCCCGGGCCCTGTTCGCCCCCCCCCCCCTAAGGACGGCCCTGCTCCCCTCCACCCCCGGACACAATTGCTAAAGCACCGTCGTCCCAAGTTTGCCTCATCGTGCAGTAGCTGCTTCTTTAAATTATACGCCGTCGGTGGGCAACTCCAACCCTATTATTGTACAACCATGAACATACTACATTCTATACATAGATGTTTATAGCCTTATAGGATAGGAAGTAAGTGCCAATTGCCTGCGAGCTGTAGCCGCATCGACCCTCTTTTTTAAGCCAAGCCGATTAACACCCATTACACTCACTGTCCCTGTCACTTTCAATTATCAATCATGTAAAATATAACAAGACGTGATACTAGTAAACCGACGTCTTATTTAAACGAGGCCACCTGCCCACAACGACCGTGCCGCTTCTATGTGTAGTGTAGATGGGTTATTAACTTTGTTCATTGTATACAATATATATAAATAAGTCATCGTACATTTCAAAGTAAACACCACATCGCAAAGACTTATTTTATTTATTTTATTATTTATTTTATTATTTCAACGCCTAACGGCAGTTAACATAGACAAATACATAAATATTGATAGGTATTAGATAACAAATTGGTAGTGATAAAAAAACATTATAAGTATAATATAGCTTAAGTACTAATAGAACATAAAAATAAAGATATAGTTAATAGGTATACATATTATTATTATTAAGTAAAAACTTAACGTTGTGTGGTCCGTGCCAAGATTTATTTTACTCTTTATTTTTGACTAAAATTCCAAAAGTCTTGGGTCTGAGTTAATTTTACTCATTATTCTCTGGATAGGGTCATTGCAAAGATAATTAGTTTTACGAGTGCTGATTTCAAACATTATTTTACTACGGGACCCATTTCTAGGTATGTGAAATTTAACCCTTTCGAGTAAACGGCTAGCATCGGTTTTCCCCAAAACTAAATTATTTAAAAATCTTATATCTAACATATTTCTTCTACTTTCAAGGTTAGATAAATTTAAAAATGTTGATATTGATGAGTAGTCATGAGGAAGGTGAGTAATTTTTAAAACATACCCAGCGAAAGCAAAAAATCGGTTTTGAACCCTTTCAATCCTTTGGATGTCTTTCTGAGTGTAGGGGGACCATGAAACAGAGCCGTATTCTAAAATTGACCGCACCAATGATGTATATAATGTTACTAGGCAATTAGCTTGATCAAAGTTCGACGCATTCCGGCGAATAAAACCCAGTGTACGTAGCGCTTTGCAAGTGATACGCTCAACATGAATACTAAAAGATAAAGAAGGTACTAATGTGAATCCTAAATCTTCTACTTGGTCTACTCGGGGCAAGCATTCATTATACATTAAGTAGTCAAAATATATATAATTATGTGTTCTGAAAAATGTCATTACCTTGCATTTATTGAAGTTTAAGGAGAGTCCAACCAAATTACACCAGTCGACCAGTTTGAATATAGAATCTTGCAGAGCAATACAGTCTTCAGGAGTTTGTATTTTATAAAATATTTTCGCATCATCAGCAAATAGAAGTATTCTACAAGGTGATATAATCGTTGATATAGAGTTAATAAAAATGTTAAATAATAGCGGTGAGAGGTGTCCACCTTGGGGTACGCCAGAGGTTGCCTTAATATTCTCCGATTTATTATTAAGCAAATCAACAAATTGAAATCTATCACTGAGGTATGATTGAATCCATGATAATAATGGATTTCCCACACCCAATTTATCCAAGATAAGTATTAATGTTGTATGATTAACTGAGTCAAATGCTTTCGAAAAATCAGTATATATGACATCTACTTGTTAGTGGAGTTCAAATGCATCTAAGACATATGTAGAAAAGTCAACCATGTTAGTGACCGTGGATCGACCTTTTATAAAACCGTGCTGATCATTGGACAGTACCACATTAAATTGTCTTTCGATTTTCTTTAGAACTAAGAATTCGAGTACCTTACCAATAAGAGGTAACCCCGAAATTGGACGATAATTAGTAATATCAGTTGGGTCTCCTGATTTAAAAATAGGTGTGACTTTGCTTGTTTTCCAAATGTTTGGGAAAATACCTTGCTGGAGAGATTTATTAAATAAAATTAGTAAGGGTGTGTTTAAGGCTTCACGACATTGGAAGAGCAGAGGTGCTGCTATCCCATCTGGTCCTTTACTATCAGATTTAGATAAGCTATTTAAAACTTCCGAGATATCGTCCCGTGAAAGAAACACTTTAGAAGGCAGATGTGAATACTGATTTATCGTGAGGTTATCTAGATCATTTGGTTTTGTATTAGGTTAGGAGTTATAAGATTATTTTGTTAGTTATTTTATGTAATACAAATGTCATTATAATAAAAATTATACGATTTAATAAATAATAATAAAGCATAATATTTTTAATTGGTTATGGATTATAATGGTCCTCTTTAAAAACTATCAAACTCAACCGGTAATAGTGTCACATATTTTTCAACCTATATTTCAGTAAGTTCTGGTGTACCACAAGCTTCCCATTTAATAAGTCACCTATTATTCTTAATATCATTGATTATAAATACTAGTATTTATAATCAATGTTAATATGTATTAATGATTTGACCACTATTGTTGATAACACGATCAATATACTTCTATTTGCTGATGACGCAAAAATATTTTCTATAATCTGTTCTCCATTTGGTGCTTAAAATTTACAAGCAAAATTTAGATGAATTCGTATTATGGAGAGGACAAAATCGATAACTATTAAAAATAATATTAACTGATGTAATTATATTAACTACTTTTTATACATCGATAATGCTATTAACTTTGATAACAACATTGATGACTGTTCAGTCAAGAGTCACTTTAATTGAGAGATTTAGGAACTTTTATTGAGTACAACTTGGCTTTCACATCTCACATAAATACTTTAATTAAGAAAGCTCTTACAATACTAGGCTTTATTAAATGAAATACCTACAGTTAATTTTAAAAATATTTTCGCCTTGAAAACTTTATTCCTTGAACTTGTCAGATCTCTCTTGAATTATGGTCAATACACTCATCATCTAGTGTTCTTTTTATACAGTATTTTAATTTTTATGATAACTTTTATATGATCGATTTGGTAATTCATATTATCAAACTTTTGAATAAGAAAATATATAAAATGATAAAATTGCATTGAAAAAAAATAAAGTACGAGACTTATATTATTGAAGCACTGTATAAGCAGACAGAGCCATGCCATTTCAATCAACTTATCTATACTTTAAAAACTTAATACTATAATATACTCGTTCAAATTTACATTTTGATGTATGAAACTACGGAAATCACCAAAAAATATATTCTATTTCAGTAAATTAAATAAGAAATGTACATATAGATTCAGTTGCTATAAACATGTGGCCGAAGCCATAAGCATTTTAAACAGATGTATAATCGTTATTATGCACGAGGCCTAAGACAGCAAATTGTTTAGTTTTACAAAAAAACATTGCATTTGGAAATGGCATTACAAAGTTTCAAGTACCATCGAATAATATATTTAAATTTTTTCCGGTAGAAATTTTTGTTTTGATAAAGACAGACAAAATTATAAGGAATCTTGTACTAGGTACATTTTTAAATCTTAGACATAAAAAGAAAAATGTTCATGAATTTCTAGCTCAAAATAATTTCCTTGGTTTTGCGTAAGAATTCACGTTTTTCCTTAATGTCTGGTTTGTTTTTCCTCTCGCTTTTGAAAACTATTGGGAACTTTAAATTTTTACCTCCCGAGTGCACTAACAACGTTCACTTTCCTTTTAGCAAAGTTGCTGTTAAAGAAAATCGAAACACTTTTAGTGTCCCAAACTGTGATGACAGACACAAAAATAAAAAAAATAAATAAATAAACACACATCATGGTAAAATCAATACATTCATCGCTCCGCTCAGAATCTAAAATAAAAAATGTATAATGTAACCACATAATTTTATACGAACTAGCTAAATTACCCGTCGTTGCCGGGTTACGGTAAAAAAAATCAAATAGTTGAATAATAATTGTGTATATGTTACGGGCAAAGTGGAAAATTCGGACAATGTATACAATGCCCGGGCATTGTATACAGTGACCGGGTATTGTATACAGTGACCGGGTATTGTATACAATGTCCAAGGTATATTGGGCAATGTGAATTGTGAAGTATTTATACAAATAATCTTCATAATATATTTTGTTAGATGATCCTGATAAACTAATATAAACTTATAATCACCATCTGATTGTGCTTGCATGTCGATCAAGTCAATTTGACAGAATGAATTCATTTCAGAAGATATGATTGGGTTTACAACCAACCCTTTTTTAGCTGTACTTCCCTTCTTTTTACACGATTCGCAATTATTTAAGTATAACATTATTACATCTCTTGTTATATTTTTGTACTTTTTATTAATCTCGTGTTCCATTATATTTCTACCTCCATGTCCAATTGACAAATGAACTTCATGTATAAT